CCAACCCCCCCCCCCCCCTCCCCCCCAAAGCACTTAGATCCACAATGCGCCATTCTCCTGCACACCAAGCAAGCAACACAAGCCAGACACAGACACATCAACTTCGTCTCGAGAAAGACGACGCTGCATGTCTGCTGCCGCCCCTCCCTCGCTCACGTTAGGGCCTGCGGGATAAGCCCCGGACTCCCGTCCTCGCCGAGGACGGTGTACGTCTTCCCCGCATTGGTCATGCCGTACGCGAACAGCAGCGCGTTCTGCGCGGAAAAGACGTCGTCCACCAGCGGCCGCATCGTCGACTCGTACGTCTCCACCTGGCCCGCCTCGGAGCTGAAGACTCGGGTGAACCCGAAGTCCTTCGCCTGCGAAAGCGGGGCAATCGAAACGCGTTCTTGTTTCCGTCGCGACAAAAATTCGTGCCGTTCTCTACAACTCAGTACATTCTGATGACCGTACTGGTCCAACTGACTCGGGCGGCTTCCGGGGTCACCGGCCAACTAATCAAAAGTGGGTGGGCACGTCTAAATCGGAATCATGGGGGGGGGGAAGTGAACCCAGATAATCCAGCTGAGAAAATCTTCTAACAACGTGCAGGAGTTCATATGCACGTGAAACTGGCAAGAATATATGGGGCAGGTGTAACACCCGTTGTTCCGCGTTGGTCAAGAATTGATTGCGACCTCGCTGACATCCTTGAAGCGGTCGGCGGAACACCCGCGAGGGAGGGGAAACAAATACACGCAATAGCCCCCACACGTCCAACACTCTCAGGCAATCCCGCCCGAAGACCCTTAGGCTAACCAACAACAGATCCCACCTCCTGGCTCATCCGCGGGAAGTGTGATGTGTATCGATAGGATAGGGAAAACACTTCTGACTGAACCACGCTCGGCAAAGTGGGAAGAAACGATTGGCCATCGGCGAATCGGTTCTGCTCCGTCCTCTCGACGACGCACGGTCAATGGTCTAACAGCTAATGCATGTGAGTATAGTAGCGGCTACGGTTTAAGAGAGGGTCGTGACAAGCCAGTATTTATCTCTTAAATCCGCTTTTCTCTTAAACCGTACTGTGAAATAAATATATGTATTTCTCATGGGCGTGACAAGCCGCCAGTTTGACTCTCTTATTCGGTACTTTCCCTTATGTAGTCTCTCTTAAACCGTAGCCGCCACTGTACCCAGACTCACCTGGCGGTTGATGGTGCGGCTATGTCCTGCCGACAGGGGCGGGAACGTCCTGAGCGTCGCCTGGTCATCAAGGATCTGGTACGTGCGGCGGCCCGTGAGCTTGTCCACGTCGGCGCCCGGGGCGCCGGGGGGCCTCACCCGGAGGAACACCGACAGCGCGGCGTTGTTGGACGTCGACGGCTTTCCCGGGGTTTTCAGCATGTAGGGAGTGCCTAAGGGGATTGACACAAAGGCGACGGCACATGGGGGATCGAGGGTAGGTAAGTACTATAGCGGCGACATGGTACAATAACAGTAGGGACCATAGAATCACACACATGTATCCCTGAGATGAACACCCCGGTCCACGGAGATGACAATAGAGGCGCACTTCCTCCAACACAAAACGAAATAAAAAAACAAGGGCAGGTATACAACACCAACACGCTGCACGAAAACTTTCCGCTGACGCTTTCTCGAATACGGAACGGATACCGAACAATAACGCGAGTCTTCGTAGGCCTTCGTGGTAGACAACGCTGCGATTACATAACACAATACGGGCACGATAACTCACTGGCAGTAGACGTTTTGGGGGTCCCGGGCATGGCATACAAGCCCGGGCCGGGGGCGGAAGACGTGGACGACTGGGACCCGCTCCGAACGCTGCCGGCCTGCTTGTCCCCGGCGGCGGTGGCCTTCGACGCGCCGAACAGAACCCGCTTGGCGAACTCGCTTTTCTTCTCGGGCGTGCTAGTGTCCATGGCTGTTGGCGGGAGGGACAAGAGGCGGGCCAGCTGATTGGTTGGTTGACCAAAATGAAACTGCCATCTTGTTGCATGGTACAACGCGTGGGAGCGATTGGTTGGTTGATGAAATGAACTGCCATCTCGCGTGCTACAGCGAGAAAGGGGACATGGTAACAACATGACACGGCTCGACGCAGGCGTAGATGTTGTGTGAATGAAGAGGGCGATGGGGGGGGTGAGGGTTGTAAAAAAAAAAACTTGTTGGCAAAGGCGCGGCGGATATCAATGTAGCCACAACCCTCTGCGGCAAACCAAGCGAATAATTTCCTCGACGGACGTAGGGCGTTTGGGCGACGCGCTTCATGGCCGCATTTTTCCGCCCTGGGAACAGCACCGCAAGATCATCCTGTCCGTGCCATAACTACAGCGCTTTCCTTGACGAACAGTAAACGCATCATCTATCTACTCTGCCTGTGTATGCGGGCATTGCTGAGATGCCGACATCGCCTCCGGTTAGAACCGTTGAGAGGCGGAGAGATGGTACCCCCCCCTCATTTGGACCGGTTTTCAAAGCTCGACTACACAACCAAGATTATTGTGCCAATATCTCATTGAGGACTTTCTGTTGATATATCGGGCTCTTCCCGCACCCCGTTGGTTGTGGAGCAATCGGGGTTCTCAAGTCGGTCTAGGGAGGTTGCCATCTCTCTGCCTCCTACCGTACATGCGTAGGATAAAGCTGGGAACAGCTACATGGCGAACGCTATGGCGAACGCTACATACGTGAGTCTTCGGTGTGCGCGATTAGTGTACTGGCCACGAGGCAACACTGTGGAAGTACAGAACCCACGTCGCCTCCCTGCACGCGCAACTTCTCCAGCGAAGTGCTTGATGCAGGAGCATGGACAACAAAACTACCCCGACGCTACATCTACTTCCTGCTTCTCTCATGCAAGTCTACTTGAAATACTCTGTAGTACATTGTAGTAAGCGGCGGGAGACGAGCATTTCTCGCTGCTGGCAAAGAGCGGAGGTGAACAGCAGTAGAAACACCCCTGTGGAGAGGGGTTGCCTAGGACAACAGCACGGCGATCGGTCGATCGCTGGTGCAGGCTACCCGAGCTATAAACGCGGGTGGATACTCTGTCCTCACTCATGCACCAACATACAGCATTAGATGCCCACACCATCTTCTTGTCGCCCCACTCGCTCAAGAACACAAAAAAGAAGACCCGCCGGGAGGTTTGAGACGGCACCGGCATGCTAACGGCGGTCCCCAACGGCGCCAAGATGCAGAAATTTTGAGTTCGCACACATGCTGTAAGTACGCCCCCAGTTAGATCTCAGCGGAACCGTTTGCATGTCTCCGTTGCCAACAAACCGCATGCCTGGTGTGATCGTTGGGATATTAAAAACTTGGCCACCTTTTCAGCACCAAACGTAGTCCAGAAGGTACCTGCAAGGGACGAGTTTACGCTTAGGGTTTGAATCCCCCCCCCAACACCCGACGGCCTCACCTGAAACAAGCGGTTTAGCACCACCGCTTGAGGGCTAACCAAGCTCGCCTCTACGCTGCTGCGACCACCAGCCTGTAATGATGTCGTTGGCTAGACCTAGCTGCTGCTGCAGCATCATGGTATGCAAAAATGGCGCGTAGTGGTTTTTCGCGAATAGGGGTTAGTCGCGTGCTGTGTTAGAGACTAACGCGTGCCGAGAGGAGTGCTAATAGCGATGGAGTGGTTAGCAGCGACTGCAGCAAAGTGGTAGGGAAGTGGAAGACGGCCACGCTCAAGCGATAATTTCCACCTGTCAGCTGAAGCGAGATCTTGTCTGCAATAGAGTCCCTGTTTTCCGTCTTGCTCTTCTTGTCGGCGCGGAAATCAACAGCCACAGCAGAGAATCAAATCAAACACTCGGCCATGTGATAGTCGTCCCCCACGCTTGACTCACCACACACGGGTGTATCACTCGCAAGAAGGGAAATCTCCTTTCCCTCTCGTAGTTCCTCTCCGCCTCTCTCTCCCTCGCTGTCGCTCAGCGTCTCCGGGGCTCTGTGTGTGATTCCTCTTGCGTAGCCGTCGAGTCTGACCGTTAGCTTTTGGGGGGCCGCCGCGCAGGATTCTCTGCTTAGGGGTATATTGGTGTTGTTTGTTCCGCCAACATAGCGGGGGATCGGGGGATGCGTCTTCTGCCTTTAAACAAATCAGAAATCGAGACCAAGGGAGATTCGAATGATTTTGCATAGACAAACCTGATGGCGGACGAGGCCATCTATAGCCGTATACGTCAAGAGGATAGGCAGTGACATTGGTAGGCCATATCGTGCGTACCCCCGACGAAAACCTCGTAAACAAGCAACCCAGGAGTCTCTTGTCGGACTCGTGATTGTGATTTTCGTTTGCGCCGATAGAAACAGAGCAACGGTGGATGAACCGAGAGCCGGTACAGAGGCGTTGACCAATCAGAGCGAGAGAGCGAGCACATGCACCTGTTTTGTTCCTCAAGACAAAAGATAAGTGTAGCCAGAGAAGGCATACAAAAGGAGAGAGACAGGAGAGGATCATTCGCAGCAGGCAACCGCACGGTACCGGGGGTAGACACCAACTCAGACGCAGTATTTTGAGGCTGTCCGCCAGAGGCAGCAAGACACGGGAGTCGGTGAACAGCACAACAAGGAAAGGAAAGGAGAGACAGACAGGAGCAGCTCCTTGGTGTGTGTTGTTCAACAACATAGCGAAAAAGGAGCGAAGGCTCACTTCTTGTACGTGGCATTAGATTAGAGCACGGCCGAGCTTGCACTACACGGGCAACGACCGCGAGCGCCCGCTTGCGAAGAAGGGGGTGGTAGGGGTGGAGAAGGGGCCGACCCCGTCGGAGATTTTGTGCGGAGCGTGCCCCACACGGCCGAGCATCCACCCTGGCGGGGCCAGTAGCACCCGGAGAGAGCAAGGGCGGCGAGGTAGGAGGGGAGAAGCGCACCACCTGCGGGGACATCATGGGCGTTGGCGTCAGCGCCTGCAAGGGCCTGGTCCACCCTCAGGCGCAGGACCCGACCAGCGGGGAGCCCGAACGATCACTGTCCACGGTGACTCGCCTCCCCTTCCTGTCGGCCTTTGAGGACCGCCCTCCGTTCAAGCCCAGCGAGGCGCTCTCGGAAAGGGATGCGTCTCTGCTCAAAGCTCTAACTCACCATCGCACCCCCTTCGCCGCAGTCGAGACCGACTCGACCGACCTCAACATTATCTACGCCAGCGGCGGCTGCGTTGCCGGCATGGGCATGCCGGCGGAGAACATCGAGGGCTCCAGCCTGGCCGGGGTGTTGAAGAAGGGGATCAAGATGCTGGATGAAGATATCGCGCGATTGGAGGTGGCTGTTCGAGCAAAGGAGGTGAGAAAACGAAAAACCAACACACGTTCATTCGACCCCACACGGCTGCTGATGCTCTGCTCCCTTTGGGCAAAATATGCGCATGAAAAGTTGGATTGGAAAATATCGGTCGTGCATTGCGCTCAGAGCTCACGACGCACACCCACGTATCTCTGAGACGCCTGTGCCCATCGCCTAGAGTATCTGGCGCTGCCTCGTTTGTTGGCCGCGCGAAAGGGCGCCTGTGGGCGATGCTATTGCAACAACCATATTTGTAGGTGCGGAATACGTCGGGATCTTTACACGGCACCAGTCGAGAAGTTTGTTTTCCAAACACCGCCGTCTGAGAGTTTAGGCGTATGTACTTACCGAACATACCAAGTCGCCGGTCATGCAAGGGAGATACCCTACCCTTGCGTACGACTATCACCCTATTGGCGCAGCGTCGTTTTTTTATGGTCAATCTCTCTGTGCGAAAACGTGAAAGCCCTCATATACCGCCTATGCATGCTTGTACAAGAGCAAGAGAGGCCGTGTTTTCGATGGGACACTTGCGTCATCGGCGGCAGCGCACTCCTGTTTTGAAAAGCCGGTCGGGTGAACGCCGTCTGTTATTTTTCGGGCAGGCCCGTACACAAGCAGCCGTGTGCCGAATAGGTTGCTTCCGCAGCAGCCAGTACTGCTGTTCCTCTGCTGTGCATATACAGCAGTAATTTTTTTCGGCATGCGTGTAGACGTCCCTGTTCATTCAGATCTCGTCTTAACAATCAATCAAATCAACAGCTCTCTCGCGGCCGTAGTCTGATGTAGTTTTAAAAATCCAATGTTAATGTTCTGTCATAAATGTGAAAGTGGCGGAAAGACAGACGGGCAGCTGCTGAAATGGTTGTATGACACGCCGACAAGGGACAGGGTTCGGACCAACAGCGGTATCAACCGAAGCCAACATGCAGGCTCGCATTTGCCCAGGTTGTTTTCCCTCTTGCTGTGGGCACGGTAGAAGCAGGGGTAGGGGGGCGGCAACGGGGTGTTGTATTTTTTTTCAGGTTTGGGGTGCATACGTGATACGAGATGTCAGCAGGCACCAGTAGCCCGGAAACTTCAACCTTAATCGGTCGGTATTACGTTCGCGTCTACGCAGGGGAAAACTGTTGTTCGGGGGTTTGTGCCCCAAGGTTTTATGTCTTAGGCCGATCAGGATCGCCCTGCCCAGGACGGAGTCTACGCCTGTGCTTCTATCCATTATTTTGTTCTTGCCTCCGAGTGCTCGCAAAGATACCCTCCGCTACCAGCTACAATACAATCCCTAGCGCAGCTGGTCGCAGTCACTTTGTGTAACGACCACATCTCTCATATGATGCACCTCTCGAAGGGTATATATAATAGTTGATTTTGCCGACACTCTGGACGAGAAAAACGAAGGGGTAGTTCGCCATTCTATCCTCCTAGTGTTGCAGGGGAGGGCCCGAATTTCGCGACGAAAGTAGTTGTTGAATGCATTCACGGGTTTTCAACTATTGTAGTACACTTTGCGCGGAGAAAGCTACTATTATATTAATATAATACTGCTGTACAGTAGGAGCGCTCATCGCACATTTCTTGGAGGATGTGACGTGGCCTGCAGCTGGCTCCATCGGGGTTTCACCAACAGAGAGCGGCGTGCATGTTTTGATCCCCGCTGGGGGGGGGGGGGGTCACAGATGTGTCAGTTTCCGAAGCGTGGATGTCGAAGCAACTGCTGTGCCTTTTTCTTTCCCCCGTCACGTTGCTCCTCTTGTTGCGTGACCGACCGCCGTTGTTGTTGCCTTTCGCGGCTTGTGGTTGCTGTACTAATCGCGATAAATCGAAATCCCCCGCTCGCGGGACTACGGCGCTCTTTTTGTCCCGCCACGAGGTTTTGAGGGACAAGTCTTTGGGGTTCGGGGATACCGATCTGGCAAGCAATGACACTGCTGTTCCCTCTTGGCGCTTACAGCAGGCCTTATACAACCCTCAATTTACTTCTAAGCCCCCACCATGTTCCGTCTTGCTTACAGCAGGCCTTATACAACCCCTCTCTTTAGTTCTGAGCCCCCACCATGTTCCCGTCTCCCTCCCTGCCCTGCTGCTGCTATGTGCGTGATTGCTGTTGTTG